TGAGTAGCAAGGACTACATTTGCATGTCACTACACCCAGCTAATTTTCGCATTTTTGTAGAGGCAAGGTTTTGCCATGTTGCCCAGGCCAATCTCAAATTCCTGGACTCAAGTGATCCTCCTGCCTTAACCTCCCAAGTGCTGAGATTGAGATTACAGGCATGAGCCACCACACCCAACACACAGCTCTGAATTCCTTTGACTGAGATTGTGCTTGCCTTGTTCCACACACCTCTGAATTCCTTTGACTGAGATTGTACTTGCCTTTAAGTTCTTTTCTTTAATGAGACAAGAGTCTCACTCTGTCACCCAGGCTAGAGGGCAGTGGCACAATCATGGTTCACTGCAATCTCCACCTCCTGAGTTCAAGTGATTCTCATGCCACAGGCACAGGAGTAGCTGGGATTACAGATATGTGCCACCACACCTGGCTAATTTTTGTATTTTTAGTAAAGACAAGGTTTCACCATGTTCGCCAGGCTGGTCTCGATCTCCTGAACTCTAGTGATCGATCCTTTGCCTCCCAAAGTGCTAGGATTACAAGCGTGAGCCACTGCATCTGGGCTTAAGATCTCTTTATATTTGTATAGCATTTGAACATAATAATAAACTCCTGAATTTATAAAATTACCAATAACTAAGGTTCTAATAAAAAAACAGCTAAATTTCAAAACTACTTAAGTATTGTTAAAAATCTACATTTCCAATAAGATGCAGTATGTTAAACAAGGATCCCTTGTCAATGCATTTGTAAGCCAGGGAGAGGGGGTTCCCTAGGAACCCCCCAAAAAAAAAAATTTAAAAAATTAAAAAAACAACAGGGATCCCTAATAAGTAGAAAGTCAAAATAGAAAGGAAGGCAGAAGGCATACAAAAATCAAAAGAATTTTTCAGAAAAAATTTTGGCAGTAGGACATTAAAGTTGGTTGATATGAATGTTAATTTTAACTTCCAAAAGAACTCATAACAAATGGATAACCTAACTCAATGCTCATTCTCAATTGGATTGTATGTCCATTTATAGTTAACAGTACTTCTGATAATGTTTTCAAACAGAAAATGTATATAAGTAATCATAACTTCCCCACCACACCTTAAAAAAATAAATTGAGACAGGGTCTCACTATGTTGCCCAGGTCTGAACCTCCTGGGCTCAAATGATCCTCTTGCCCCGGCCCTCAAAGTGCTGAAATTACAGATGTGAGCCACTGTACCCAGCCACAACTTCCCACTTTTTAACCAAATTATTCACCACTAGAATTCAAGGTTTCGATATTCCTTTTTTTTTTTTTTTTTTTTGAGACGGAGTTTCACTCTTGTTACCCAGGCTGGAGTGCACTGGCGCGATCTCGGCTCACCGCAACCTCCGCCTCCC